AACCCTAAAACCCTAAACCCCAAAACCTCTAGACCCCTGAACCCTAAACCCCAAACCCCTAAACCCTAAACCTTAAACCCTAAACCCTAAACCCTAAACCCTAAACCCTAAACCCTAAACCTAAGCCCGAAGGCCCGAGTCTCCGGAGCTCCAAAAAAAAACATAAAAAAAACCCAACAAACTGCGAACCTCAGCTCAGGTCTAGGACATTTTCAGGTGGCTAGTTACCGTTACAGGAGCCTGTTAGAAGGTCTAGTCAGCCCCAAAAAGCTGGAAACCGGATGAAAGGACAATTAGTGCTGGGATTCCCGATGCACTACTCTTAAGGATTCAGGCTATTGGGTTTCCAACTTGTGGGCTTCCCCAGAGACTCCAATACCCCTTAATTAAGGAATATATCTTAAATTATGGTAGGATCCCGAATATGATTTAAGGTATATTCCTTAATTAAGGGATATTGGAGTCTCTGGGTCCACTGTATATACCTTATAGAAGCCTTATAGAAGCCTTATATACCCTAAACTCCCCGCCTGTAGTTTCCTCCAGTCAGGAGCCCAATCCTGACATCACAGGCGGCTTTGCGGGTTTAGGGTTCAGGGTCCGAGCTAAGGGTTCCAGGATTTAGGGTTTCGGGGTTTAGGGCTTAGGGTTTATATAGGGGTTTGGGGTTTAGGGTTTCAGGCTTCAGGGCTTAGGGTATAGGGTCACGGTGTCCCTGCTTAGAGTGAAAATGACTCGTGAGCTGGAATGAAAGTAGGTGGGACGATCCCCAATTAAGAGCCCTTATATAAGGGATCCCTACCCACTAGGCCTCCGAAGCATCCCCTTTGAGCCCAAGACCCTCTGACAAGAAGATCAACGAGACTCCGTTTAAAAGTCATGTTATTTTGTCTGCGCTTTATGAACTTACGGGTTTTGGACCACCTGAGATCGTGGGCTGTTTTGTGCAGGCTTTACCCGCGGCCAAAGCCGGGAATGTCAGGTTTCAGGTGTCCTTGTGGTGGAGGGTCTCACAACTGTCGGACATGGCTTCCGCCCTTTCTACATGCCGCGGTAGTAAGGCTTGTTGATCCAGGATTGAGGGTCACGGGCGGGGGTAAGGTCACCTGCTTTGAATTCTGCGTTGAGTTGGGAGCTGGGTTCGGGTTTAGGGTTTAAGGCCCTGCTGTTGAGGTGTGTTCGCTGGCACACAATCCAAGCCCATGCTTAAAAGGGTTTAGGGTTTGTGGTTAAAGTTCAGGGACACTCGACTCGTATCATTATTATTATTAGTATTGTTATTATTATTCTTATTATTATTATTATTATTGTTATTGTTATTGTTGTTGTTATTATTATTATTGTTATTGTTATTGTTATTATTATTATTGCTATTGTTATTGTTATTATTATTATTCTTCTTCTTCTTTTTTTGCATTGTGCGTTCATAATCATTCCAGCACTGACCCCTGTGCAGCGCATGGAGGCCCGAAGCCCTAGCAAAGACCTGGCCTTTCGGCTCCTCTTTTGTTAGAGTCACCCGCTCTGGCCTCTGCTGACTCTTAGAAGAAGCGCGAAGCCCCACGACTTCGAAATCGCAGCGGTACACTCGCCGTAGAGCTCCTCCCCTTTGCCCTGCGTTTAGGGTTTGGGGTGTAGGGCTTAGACACCAAAAAACTTGAACGCCCCTCACAACCCTCCGAAGGCTTTGTGGATGAAATCCGCATGCGAAATTGTTTCGGCCCGGATGTGGCCGCTCGGGCCAAGGATGTCTAAGGCTTCTTTGGGGTTCTAGGGTGTAGGATTTACAGTGTGGCGTGGGGTGGTTAGGATTTAGTACGCTCCCGCCTGAATACCCCCTCCCCTATAAGGATCCCATAACTTGCGGATCCAGTGGATAGCTTTTGCCAAAGCCGGGAAACCGGTCATCGCAAGCCCGGGGCTTAAAGTCCCTCTGCTGACCCCGATCACGAACTCGCAGGCTTGTGCGGCACCCTCAGTCCTGAACCGTGAACTAGTGCATAACTAGACTACTGTTGTGGATATAAATCCTGCATTACCTTAAGGACCCTAAACTATGGGGAATTACGGTATATTCCTTATTACGGGTAACATATCGCAGGTCTCCCAGTGGACCCTTTTCCCTCTTTTGGTGGTTCCTGTTCAAACCAGCCGATATCGGCAAGGGAGCCCTTTGTTTTCCTAGGTTACTGGGGGGGGGGGGGTCCTAGAAAACAAAGCCCGAAACTCGTCGTGTGAACCCGTCGATTTCTGCCATCATCTTCGTGCTTCGGGTTCAGGGTTTAGGGCGACAAGAAGTACAGCTTACCTATAGTCTCCATTTTTGGCTGAAAGCCATTTGATGTAGCCTAATGAAGGACCTACAGTGGAGAATATCGTAGGTGTTGTTGATAGAGTCCTTCGGGTTCTTGAGGCTTGCGGACGGAGAGGCCTAGAATAGAAAACGCAGAGAGAGAGACGCCAGGTGGCACCGTTCCTGGAGACACATGGCCTGGACCTGCAACTTGCACCACATTTCAGCTTCGAGTTGATTAAGCTGTTCCTGATTTTCCGTTCGGGGCCTACAGCTTCACGTGAATCCGGAGAGCCCACAAGCTTGCAAGTCTTGCAGGCTACCTGAGAGCACTGCCGGCTACTTTCGCAGAGATCATGTGATCTACAAAAGCTTATTGCCCACATTATCCTTCTCCCAAAACCCGGAGCTACAAGAGTTTGAGATGTGTCGTCGGTCGGATATTCGATTCAGAGCTCGGGGTTCGATTTGAGCGCGAAAGCTGCAAAAACACCCGTGGCGACAACAACTTGCGTGCAAAATCTGAAGCTGAGCCTCTGGACCCATATTCGGCAGCAACTGATTTTATGGGCGAAGGCTGGGCATCGTCTGGAGCAGTTCATCTCAGAATGGGTTTAGGGGTAAGGGCCTGATGTTGAGGTGTCCTTCATCAGACTCCTGGGGAACCATGGCATATGCTGGTCTGTTAGCTCGAAGGCTTCACTGCGCCACTGCAGGTCGCTCCAGTGCCAAGTGCCAGACATCTTCCGACCCCTGAAGCCCCAAATCCCTAAACCCTAAACCCTAAACCCTAAACCCTAAACCCCAAACCTTAAAACCCAAAGGCCCCAAGCCCCACATCACGGTCGAGGTGTTGAGTTTCGGGCTTGGGATATTCCGGGGCTCAAGGGACCTCCCATGCTGCCTCTACTTGGAGGTTCATGGGTAGTTATAAGTGGAGTTATACGTCCCCTAATATAGGTTATATATATATATATATATCAATTGTTACCCTACTTATAACCCTACTTAGAACTACCCATGAACCTCCAAGTAGCGCTGAAGCCCTCGACATGCAAAGGATCTGTCGCTCTGCGCTGACGGAGCAAGGCTACGAGCCCCTCGTCGTCTCTGTCATAGTTGGGTAACATTTTACATTTTTAAGGGTACTTAAACCCAATAAGGAATATAAATTTAAATTTTCAATACTACCCCAACCATGAACTAGTCGTTCGAAGTTGGGTGTATAAACAGACTCCAATACTTTAACTCATATTAGGGATCCTACTATAATTTAAGTTAAGGGTTATCGGCAATATCCCTTAACTTAAATTATAGTAGGACCCCTAATATGATTTAGGGCATATTCCTCATTTAAGGGATATTGAGGATCCCCGCTTGCTTGCACTGTGTGCTTAAGATAAGACTTCTGGTGTATAGGATTTGAATCTCAGCGGTTTTTCGTGATAGAGCCACGGTTTAGGGTTTAGGGTTTAGGGCCACTCTACAGGATTAGGTGGCCTTGGGGAACGAGGGGGTCCTGCTATCTGCTATCCCCTAGTGTAAAGCTTAGGGTCTATAGACTTTCAGGAACTCTGCTCAAGCCTCGAACGGGCCTACTTAGGGGCTACCACACCTCGATTAAGGGAACCCGCTGGGGTCTCCTACGATGTTGTCGTTTGAGCCTTTGTTGGTTGTTGCTCTGACAGGGAGAATTAGGGTTTAGGGATTAGGGCGACATAGACTCCACACCCAGTCAGGTATTTCCGTGGGACACCGATGGTGTCCCTGACCAGCCACGTCAGCGACGATTTCAGCAACCCTGGGGCCGTGATGCTTGTCGACGATGCCCAGCTGCAAGGAGTCCTTACCCTGTTCGCAAGCCAAAATAGGGATGTGAAATTTTCCGTAGTGGCCTTCCAAGATCTGCGTACGATTAAAGCCTGAACCGCAAACTGATGATTTCGACGACGAGAGCTTCAGGTGTGGGCTTTTGAGTCTAGGAGATCCGAAAAGCATGCCTGCAGCTGCCCTTGCCACGACGATTTATCAGAATTTTCTATGCGTGATGCTCCGCAGTTCAAGAGTTTAGCGCAACATCAACTACAGCTATTTAGTAATTCGTTAATTCTGTTCTGACTCAGGAACAGGTGAAGCCATCCTTCCTCCTCTTCGATGCAGAGGGCACTTTCAACTTGGCCGAGCCTACATGAAGACAAAGCTTGAGGGCCTTAGTGCGGCACAGTAAACCCGGTTTAGGGTTTAGGGTTTAGGAACCGCACAGTATTAACAGAATGGTCATAATGGCACTATGAGGCAGATGATGGGGTTATAAAGCGGACTCTAGGCAGTTTTGCATCATGTGCACCTGAAGATTCAGAACTGTCAGTCTTGTGGATGGATGGTCTAGAGTGTTGGGGTTAACGAGCGTAGAGTATTGTAGAATAACTTGCAGACCCAAAGTGGTTTGCAAAAGGGAATCGCCCAAAGGCAAATGTGAAAAAGGATCGCAGTGCGGAGGCAGAAGCCCAAACATCAGAATTCCCATGTAAAGATCGCTGAACCTTCATCGGGGCTGAATAGCCAGTTATGTGACAATATACCCCGAATCCCTGCTGTAACATACGGCACCATGCTGAATCCAGTAAAACCCCTATCAGACCCTAAACCCTAAACCCTAAACCCTATCAAAACCTTTCTCTTCGTCTCAAGCCCCAGGTTTGTCCCATCCCAGCCGATCAAATCTCCATGCTGGCACTCCAACTGATGGTGCCCAAGGCCCGGGGTCGTCGGGAGGGAGGGTTTAGGGTTTAGGGTTAGGGTTGTAGGGTTTAGGGTTTAGGGTTCAGGGTTTTAGGGTTTAGGGTTTAGGGTTTTAGGGTTTTAGGGTTTAGGGTTGAGGTTCATGGATGGTTGTAAGTGGAGTTATAGGTCCCCGAATATGGGTTATAAGTATAGCTATCCTAATTTTGACCCCGAGTATACCTACCGCATGAACCTCCAAGAAGTCGTAAGCCTACAACTTTAAAGTTGAGAGCTATCCAGATGGGAGCCTTACCATGAACAGTGTCGTTGCACAGTCTTTAAGCTTCCGATGTTAAGTTCGATTTTCAAGCGTGGTATCCTCACGTCCTTGTCGTGGTTGCAAAGTCATGAACCCATGTGTGGTAAGGGCACCTTCTCAGAGCTATCCGGGCCCGGATTCGCAGCCTCGCCCACAAAGACCCTAAACCCCAAACCCTGAACCTTCAAGCCCAGATTCCTTAGCAGGCTTGGCTCGAACATCGCGTGTTCGATTGGATCATCGCCACGCGCGGCAGTGCCGCTTGCTCGGGGTGTTTTGGGGCTTCAGGATTGTAGGGTTGACTGTAGGATTTAGACATCAAGTTTACGGCGTTCAGGCTTTTTAGTTTTGGGTTTCTGCTTTTCTGGCTCAGGTTTAAAAAAATTCAAGCTGTACGTGGTCTCGTCGTTGGGGTGGGGAAAATCTTGAAGGGACAAAGGGAGCAAGTTTCCAACCTGCTCTAATGACGAAGATGTCGCCGCAACCCTGAGGTGTTTTCGGTGGAAATTCTTGCATTCCACTAGCCGAGCCGTTGGCAAAGCCACTCCTTATGGCTCCCTAGCTGCCCTTTTGCCAACATCTTCCTCTAATCCAGAATGGTCGTAAACGCACAACACCATTTCAGTGACTAGATTTAGGGGCAAATTTTAAACTAGGTGCTGCACCTAGTCGGGGCTTCATAAACTTAGGGGTACCTTAGTCTCAGGCTGCAGAATGCATGAGTGCCATTATGAATAGGATCCTACTTCTTAGCTTCCTATGCCGGTTGAGTCCCAAAAGGCCAACGCAGAGAGGGTGAGCCCTTGCTTCTAGGCGCAGACACGCAACGTCAAGAACTTCCGGACATGGGCCAAGAGACAGGCAGCATGTTCGGGGGCGGGGAGTTGGGTGGGCAAAAACCTTCAAGGTGTCTGTCGAGTCTTTCTGGCGGGTGCAGTTTCTTTACGGCGCAGGAGTTCCCAAAACCCTGGACCCGTAAAGCAGTCAGGAGTGTGAGCTCGGCGTTCGTGTGCGCAGCCTCCGACTTATAACCTTAGAGCTAGATTCGGTACGTATGGTCTCTGCAACTAGGTAGGTAGACCTTTGGGGTATTTAGATTTTCATTTCTTGGGCTTAAGAGGATCTTGTTTACAGACATTGTTGAGAGGCTAACCCTAAACCCTAAACCCTCAACCCGAAACCCTAAGCCCCTAAACCGGGCCAACATAGAGAACCCATGCTTCAGAACGATCTTTGACTGATTTTCTCCGACTATTCCGGGGCTCCAAGCCGTTCCGGGGGTCCTGGCCCGTCGGAACTCTCATGTCGAATGTCTCATTCAGCCCAGGCCCTGTAACCTTTCAGCCCTATTCCTGGCGATGCGGCATACAAATCCTGACCCTATACCCTTAAGCTCACCCCATTCCTGAAGCAACGGGCCCTAAACACCCGGATCCTGTTCGCAAGGACGATTATCTTTGGCGGTACCCTTCAGAAAGCCCTCCCGCGGCCTGGATTCCCCTGCAAACCCTAAGCTCTAAACCCTCAACCCTAAATCCTGAACCAATGGGGCTCTCCGACTTCTAGCAAGACGGAAACAGGTCCACAACAAAGAAAATTGAACCCTAAAACCTAAACCCTAAACCCCCAAAGACCTCACCTCTCCTGGCGAGGCAGATCGCTACGCAGCCCGCCAGGCCTAGTAGACTGTGGGAGTGTTGGAAAACAGTGATGTGGTTGATGATATAAAGCCTGCATTACCCATAGTAAGGAATATGCCATAATCCCCATCGTTTAGGGTCCTTAAGGTAATGCAGGATTTATATCATCAGCAGTACTTTATCCTGTCGGGCTTCGTACTTGTTAAGGATCTTATTTAGAAGTTGGTGGTGTTTTGGGCAGGTTTGGGGGTTTTGGGCTGAGATGAGCTTGCGGTTCAAGGTCGGATCTTTCTGTAACGGCACTTCAGATTGAGATGAGAATCTCATGTATCGTGGCGGTGTTTTGGTGGCGAGGTTGTCCGGGCCGCTGCGTTTCAGAAGCTTCAGTCTTTCAGCAACTAACTATGCACCCGCATCATTGCGCAAGCAGCTATACGGCAGATACAGGCAGTACACTAGTGCACCATTTGCAAGGATCAGTATGTTTGCCTGTAAAATGTTTGGGAAACATAAGCCAGTATGTTCCGCCGATGACATGTTGCGATGCTGCGTGCGCTTGCTGCATTCTCGTCCTCCTGCTGCTGAATGGAACTGAGGGTTTTCCGAAGAATTGCTCGTGTTATACCCTAAACTCTAAGCCCTAAACCCTAAACCCTAAACCCTAAACCTTAACCGCTGTAGACCAGGGTTTTTGTTCTGGTGTAAGCCTAGGGCTCGGTGATCCAAGCGTTCGTGGTCTTCTTGTGATTCATATCCCCGGAGAGTCCATATTTACTACAATTTTATCAGGTGCGAAAAGACAATCTCTTTTCGGGATTTTTGGACCGAATTCCGCAAAAGTACTATATATGGGCCCTCTTGGTTCTGGAGCATCTGAGACGCAAGTATTCCTTCTGCAGGGGTGGAGGGGCATGCTGCAGCCAGCAGACGCCTCAGAGACGTGCATTGGCGCTTGCACATAGGACCTATAGGATTCCCGCACTCTATGCTGCTTGCATGAATGCTTGGCATCTTGTCGCCAGAAGCCCGTATCTAAGCCGTGCACTCCGTTATCTTTTCAGGTGTTCAACCGTGCTGATTTGAGTTTGGGGGCACATCTCCAATTGAGAATTGGCATCTCTCTCGTCTAACTCGCCCTGGTCCTCAAGTATGGTTTGTAGTAATCACTCCTCAAAAAAGTTGAGTAGCCAACTAGGCAATTTCGGTTTAGCACTCACGTTAAGGTGTACATTTGTAGCACCATGGCAGCTTGAGCTATATGAGCCGCACTGTTGGCACACAGATGGCTGTGTTTTCGCTTCACAGTTACCATGGCACCGCAAAAACTTGCACTGCAGACTGTCCAAGAGCGCATGAGATGCAACAAAATTACATCGCCTGGTTTCAAACTCTCCGATTTCAAACTCTCCGTCAAAGCTAGGCGAAGATCTGCAAGTTCACTGGTTGCAGGAACCCTTAAGAACCCGGTGGTTGAACGGCTGTTCAGACATACCTGTTTTCAAGGGTTCTAAGACGGTATACCACGAAAGGCTTCTGGGTTTGACCAGGGTGGAGTTTGGTTCTGCTCGAAATTCGATGTGGGAGTTTCAGAAATGAGGGTTCGCAAGACAGCTCGGAAATAGTTGCATGCTTCGTTGACGAATATGATCGTGTATATACATTGTATATATATATATATATATGGTAGCCCCCCCCCCTGGACCAACCTCCGCCATGAAACGGACCATGTCTGTACTTGTGTTGCTGCGAATTGATATCGCAAACCCTTTAAATACCGAGAGATTCTGCGTTGGA